TATTCTCTCCCCCATAGACTTCAATGCCGTAAACATATTTCATCCAGTTTTTCTCAGCCTTACCCCCACCCCGATGCCAGCCTCATTCTACAACAGTGGCACCATGTAGCATTTGTCCCTTTGTGACTGAGATACCTCACTCAGCATAATGTCCTCCAGGGTCACCCATTTTGAATAATATTGCATGAGTTGTTATGTTAGAATGTCTATCTTTATGTGTTCCATTTAATTTTTTACAACTTCCAGGTTTCCTATATTCATATTTTGTACATTCCAGATTCTATTAGTGGAATCAAGAAATGTGTGCGTCAGGGCTGTATCATTTCTCCATAACCATTCACTCTGTATGCTGAGCAAATAATTTGAGAAGTTGAATTTTATGAAGAATGTAGCATTAGATTAGATGAAGACTCATCAGTAACCTGCATTATGCAGATGACACAACCTTGCTTGATGAAAGTGAGGAGGACTAGAGGCACCTGTTGCAGCAGATCAAGGACTACAGCCTTTGGTATAAATTATATCATAACATTAAGAAAACAAAAAATCCTCACCACAGGACCAATAGTCAATATTATGACCAATGGATAAAAGATTGAAACTATCAATGAATTCACCTTTCTTGGATCAACAGTGAGGAGATCAGGAGATGTATTGCACTCAGCAAGTCTGCTGTTAAGGACCTCTCCAGAATGCTGAAGAGCAATGATATCAGTCTGGGGACTAAGATGTGCCTAATTCAGGCCATGGTAGGCAATGAATAAGGGTGACAGAAGAAAAACTGATTTGAGTTGTGGTGCTGAGGAAGAGTACTGAATATCACATGGACTGGCAAGAAGACAAACTGACATGTTTTGGAGAGGGTGCAGCTGCATCCTTGGAGGCAAGGATGGAGAAGTTTCATCTTTCATACTTTGCATTTGTAGCTGGGCAAGGGTATTCATTTGAAAGGGACATCGTGCTTAGAAAGATTTGGGGTCAGTGAAGGAGAGGAACACTCCCAATGAGATGGATTGACATGGTGACTTGAGCAACGGGGTTTGAGTGTTTCAAAACTTGTGAGGATGGCGCAGGATATGGCAGGGTTCAGGTTGGCTGTTCATAGGATCACCATAAGTCATACTCAACTTGATGGCACCTAACAACTACAACAACATAGAATCTTACTTAAGGGTTTGGACCTATTGTTACCAAATTCTCTACCAAAGACTAAGAGATGCTGTATTTCTTCAAATGTATAAGTTTGTAGAGACACTTGTAGCAAAATGTAAAAAGAAATGTTAATCAGCAAATTTGTAATTACTGCTTGATTATAGTCTATATAAAATTTTTAAAATACCAATCATGATAACTTGGCAACATTAAGTTCTACATATATTTTTTTTTTAAGTTCTACATATATTTTATGTTGTGAAGTTAATAGTACCTCTGAAGCTACTATGAATGCTTTAGCATTTTTACCAGTTTCTAACTGTCCACATGTATTTTAATTTTTCCTAATGATTTTATGGATTTTTTTTCTATTCCAAAGGTGAAAATCTTATTTCTATGCCTTAAAATATACTATATTGAATTATGGCAGATTTTTATTTATGATTGTGTTTAAGTGGTATGACACCAGTTTTAATAAGATATAAATTTTTTTTACAGATGATCTATCATAGAGGAGCCAACAGGAGTGTTCATATTACTATACTATGTAATGAAAAGTGTGCTGGACTCCTTATTAAATTATACTTATTTAAAAGAGATATAAATAGAGCTCTGGTGGCCTACTGACAAGAAGCTGCACTGCAATCCCAGAGGTGCACAGTTTGAATCCCCCAGATGCTCTGCTGGAGAAGGAGGGACAATCTCCTCCTACACCAGTCAGATCTGATTTGATGGTACATGCACAAAAAATAGTAAAATAAGGAAAAAAAAATAAAAATTAAAAAATAGATATAAATACATACTACTTGGTTTTGTAACAACAAACATTTTATAATTTTTAGAATGAGATTTCTCTCATAAACAACACATTGTTTAATTAAGATTAAAGGAAAACACAAGGCTCAATTGATAATCATTATTCTAAAAGATTTAAAATGATATTAAAAATTAATTTTTCATAGCTTTAAATTAGTTTGTAATGTCACAGACTAAAGAAAACAGTTGGTACAATAATTCCTTTGCCTATTTACTTTGCCCATGCCATGCAAAACAGAAATACTTATTTTAAAAGCTGATATTTTAATCCTGAAGGAAAAGAATATTGAAATTCTTTTTTTAAACATGCCAATGTCCATACCTGATTTTTCAGTGATGAAAGAATGTATTCCTTTTCAGAATGGGAGATGGATGTGTGAGTTTCTGGTTTATCACTAACTAACCAGATCCACAAAAGAAACCAAACTATTCCAACTATCCCTTAAAATAGAGGGGGCAAAAAGATAGTTAAAATTAGAATGGATTCAGAACAACTTTCACAAATCTTGAGAAAATTACATAACTCTAAATTTAATCTAAAAATAGTTTGTTTAGATACTATTTCATGTTTTTGTCTTAATTTTTAATTGGAATAATTGCTATAAATTTGTACAGTGCTATTAATTTTTAAGAAATTCACTTATAAATAGAACTTTGCATATAAGGGTCTATCAACCAAAAGCATTAAGTAGATAAGCTTCTACAGTACATTTCTATACATATTCATCTTGCTTTGCTTACATTGCAGATTTATTATCTGCATGAAATGTTTGGTGGCAAACTATTAAAAAATATTTATCCTCCTGTCAATGAGATGGAGAAATGAAAAGTTCTAGGTTTAAAGAAATGAAACAAAACTACCAAGAGTGAGCCACTTGCCCTTCTTTGCTTGAGAAGGAATATTTCCTTCTCAAAATACAGAGTTTTATAAAACCCACATTAGGCATTAAAAAAAAATTAGAAGTAAGGCTTATATAACAAAATTAGCCATTTCAAAGGTAATTCAGTAACAGTGCATTCATGAAGTTAGTTATGTATTTCCACAGTATTTCCATCACTCCAAAGTAAAACATCTTGCTCATTATTTCTCATTTTCTCCATCCTCTGGCAGTTTATTTTTATGTATTATCTAGGAAATATAAATTTCATACAAATGGAATCATAATATAAAACCTTCTATGTCTGGTTTCTTTTAATTAGTGGTGGTGGTGTGTACCACTGAGTCAGAACAGACTTTACTTAGTGTAAAGTTTTCAAAGTTCATTCATTTACTAATACTTCACAATTGTTTATGCTTGAATAATATTCCTTTTGTGTATACATATGTACACACACACACACACACACACATACACACTGAAATATATATCCACACAGTGGAATATTATGGCATATTTATATGTATCTATATCTATATCTATATCTATATCTATCTATATCTATATATCACAGTTTGTTTTTCAATTGATGGATATATGGCTATTTATAAATTGATAATAGTCTTTGGCTATTGCATTGCTTTGCATGTACTGTTCTTGTTGGAATACCTCCTTTAGTTGTAGAGGATACACACTCATGAGAGGTTTAAAGAAATGAAATGAAACTATCAGCTCTGGTGGCCTAGTGGTAAGGAGTTGCACTGCCAAAGGTACACTGTTCGAGTCCACTAGATGTTCCACAGGAGAAAGAAGGGCAATCTCCTCCCGTGTCATTTAAAGCCTCCAAAAAACCACTGAAGGGTCAGCAATGGCTCAATTCCACCTCCACAGCATATAGCATAATACCTAGGAGAAGGAGCACTGGTAGCACAATTGGTTAGGAGTTGTGTTACTAACCTAGTGATAGCGGTTTGAACCTACCAGCAGTTTCTTGGGAGAAAAGATATTTAGTCCGGTGCAATTTAAGCCTCTGAAAACTCAGTGAAGGGTAGCTATGGATGAGTCAGCTCTGACTCTAAGGCAAAGTCTGAGTGAGTAAGTAATATACGTAGACATGGAATTGATGAGTTTTAAGTTTATTTAAAATTTTTTTTATTTAGGAACTGCTAAATTCATTTGTACAATGGCTAAACCATTCCAAGATAGGAAATTTTGATAATTAAGAGTGTCATTTAAATCCAAGATTAAAAAGTGGTTTCTATTGTTAATACCTAAAAATGATCAGGCTTTAACCCTTAGTGAGATTACTTGAAACCTTTTCAACTTGAAAAACAAGTTACCAGGAAAAGTTTTGTAGTTTTGAAAATGATTATTTCTGATTGCATGCATAGATATAATTATT